AAAATGTACTTTTAACAAGAATGCTAAGTGAAACAGAGGAGTGAAAAATTGTTAAGGGCTTTTAAAATGTTCTCTTAAGCCTCTTCAGCTGTATTTGCCTAATTGTTTTCAGGAGTTTCACAGTAATTACTAACTTAGGTATAGTGCTTACTGCAATGAGATTTTTTTTTGATTACACTCTTCATGAAAACTGACACATCATAAAAACATTTAATATAGTTTTTGCTTATTATTAGATTTTCCACAGCAAACAATTCCTTTGTAGAAATGTTAATCTTATCATAGTCCTTGAAAATAGAAATTGGGAAAAAATAATTAAAATTTTAAATAAGAGTCTATTACGCTGTGCAATTTGTGCTGACTAGAGAAGCACACCTCCAACCTGAACTACCCTGTGATCCTGACCTCATAAGTGGAGTCAAGAATTAGAATTTATTGTTAGTCTAATTAATGCCCTAGCAGTCTAATCAAAATGCAGCAGTTTTTATTGTTAGCCAATTACAGTGATGCTAACACTTGTAGTCTAATTACTTCTAGTTCCCAATAATCAATGTACACAAGCTTGTTCACGCTGACCCTGTCCAGGCTCAGCCTTCCAGTGTCTTGAGCGCTGCTGGGAGGAGGGTGCTGGCAGTGGCTCTGCCTGCGATATGCTGGGTGCTTTCAGGCAGTCAGTTGCTAATGCTTTGCGTTGGTCCAAAAGTTTACTGATGTTAGTCCCTCTGGTTTTGTGAGACCATTATTGTGTCTGCTGTAATTTGCTTATGACCGTGCAGTTACACAAAGCTGAGCTGAATCTAAAAACGAGTTAGACACAGGTCATCTGACCATAATGACTTTGTTGCAGTTAAGTCTCTCAGCTGCAAAGCATGTGCTGCTACAGCTAAATCCAAGCTCAGAAAATAGGTTCAGGCCAAGAGAAGTCCAGCCAAAACATGGTAAGTCTTTAGTCATCGTGTTTCTGAGGCAGTCTGAGGCCTGTGACTTGCTAATAGCAACGGCAGTACTGTCTTTCTAGGGCTACAAATCGTGTGTGTTTGGGATAAATCTATGTGCAACATGTATGCTAGAGAGGGGGGAGCATAAGCTGACGTTTCAGGTTGGCTTGCTGAGTCGTAGTAGCCAAAGATGGAGTTAGTCTGCTTGCAAAGCTGTAAGTTGTTACAATTATCATGGAAGTACTGACATCTCAAGATGACCTTTAAAGGTCCCTTCCAACCCAAACTATTCCATGATCTCTTCATATTGGCCAGTCTGTAGTAAACCACAAGTGAAGGACAGCTTATTCTGCATGGTCATCTGGTCTGTGGCAGCTCCTGCAAAACAAGCCTTCTGATGGTGGCCAGGTGCCGTGTGTAATTTTGACATGCACTTGAAAGGATGTTCTTAAGCTCTTTAAATCATTCATTGTGGCTTCCATTTTTCAGTGTAAGCCATTCTTCAGTGTTGAGTCATCTTCTGCTGATGAATCATGGAGGTTTATCTCATGCTTATAGTAGCCTCCTTGTGAGCTGACATGGCTTGTGACACAAGGGGTCTCTGATCCAAACTACAGCAGTCTGGCAAAATGGAAGGATAATCTGTTCAGAAAGAAAATCTCTGCAAGCTGTTTGAATCTGATGTTACAGGGCAGAGGTTCTTCAGAGGCCATGGATTAGGCGATTTTGTTGTTGTTGTTTTGGGTTATGGGTTTTTTTCCCAGTCTTATTGTTGGGGGATGTTAACGTTTATGAAAATTACATTGTGGATTTCTGGGAAATGCTATTTATAGTCTTTTGAGGTTAGATCTGGACCAAAGTCTAACAGAGGACCTCAAGAATGATACACAGTAAATCTTCAGATTGTCTGTCTTTGTGTTTGTGAGGATTGAAGACGACTCCATTTTTATGTCTTGCTTTATTTTATTCAAGTAACGTTTGCAAGACCAGTTTAGCTGAAGCTGTGACGGATTTGCCACTCTGCTGTATGAAGTGTAGCAAAAGTATAGAAAGTCATGTTTAGAAAACTTCATCTGTCCTTTCCTGAGAGCAGCTGCTTGGCCTAGTCTACTCCAGGCTGTTTAATAACAAACTGGAAGTACTGGCAATACCAGACAGAATACACAAGCAAAATTTTATATTTCTTTCCTATGCCTTGATCCTAGATCTTTCACAGTCCTGAGTCTAGGGCTTTTATTTTTGTTGCTTTGTTATTTCTCTGAGAGGTACTGATTTATGTCCCCATCAGAGGCAGAGCTTATAAGAAAATTTGCTCGCAAAATTTCCTCATTTAGGTATGTAGGGAAGCACTCCTGGTCTAGGTAAGTTAATATGTCTCTTGGCATTTTGGAAGAGTTATTAACAGCTGCAAACTACCCAGGTTTTTCACACAATGATACTCTTTTGGTTTTGAATCTTGAAATTGTGCTTTGGTAATTTCTCCAAATGTTACAAGTAGATAATTTGTGTACAATATTCAGTATAATATTCCGTCCGCAGATATGATTAAGTTCTCCAGTGTGTTTGGAGTTCTCTGTCTATGTCTAGTATCTGTATCATTTATAAGGTACATTCTTACCTCGTTATGATCTAGAGCTTAGCAAAAGTGTGAAGCTTAAAGACATGCACCTATACCTGTGCTCTTTTTTCCCTGGTCCCTGGCACACACTTTCATTGATTGTTTTTGGGACGGGCGTATAAAATTTTCCATTTGCTGCTCTCTTAGGTTACAGGAGAAGACAATTATGATCTCATGCCTTCCCAGTACTTTCTCACTTAATGTGCTACCTGTCATACTTAGAACTTCTGTAAGTATTTCCTAGAAAAATCATTACAGGCCTTCATGATTGTACCAAATACTAGGACCTCAGTCTATTGTCAAAATAATTAAAGAGCAATGTTTTTTTTCATTCAGAGTTGAGATCTGTAACAGATGCAGGCTCTTGCATCTCCTTCACCAAGTTCTCAACCTTAATTCATAAACTACTTTTTCTGTCTTTTCCATCAGTTTTATTTACCTCTTAATAGTTGTATCTGTAATTTTATATATAGTGCTAATTCTTTTCTTCCACTACATCTGAGATTGCGTTATTTCTTAGTGTTAGCATTCCTTTCTTGTGACTTACCCTGCTGTGTTTCTGTTAAGTCCCCCGCGGTCTCCTTCTTGAGTAATTGCTTCTAGCTCAGTCTGTTTATTTCCCATCATCCTGGCATTAATATACAAGTAATTGTGAGATAGTTTATTCCCTTTCTTTCTTGGTAGGTAGTTTTGTTTTCTTCTTTCTTTCCCTCTCCCCCTTTTCTTCTTGCTGTCTACAAGCCTGGCATTTCAGTTCTTGACTTACAGTTGTCTTTTTGTCAATAAGTGAATCTTGTATCCACTCCGGGCTGTTTTATTCTTATGCCAGCTCTGAAGACAGAAGGTTAAATGTCTGAAGGGAAGTAGTGAGTAGTCAAAAGCACCTGTGTGCTCAGTGAGGACTGTGCTCCATGGATGAAGTCTCTGGATTTTTTTAACTTGATGAAAGGAGTGACAAATTTGTGGTGAATATTGGCATAGAAAAATAAGATGAGGTTTAGCAAATAATATTTGGACTGCCTGATTTGTTTGACCTTTGGGGAGAGTGAAACAAGGTGTGATTGACATGGACAGTTAGGCAGTCAGTTTGAGATGACCTCTTTGAAGATATTCATTATTCAGTGCTGTTAATCCTTTTTTTTTTTTTGTTTCTGGGGTTGGTGGCAAGGTATGAAATGGAAGTTGTCAGTTGTTGAGCTTTTGATCATTTTGAGCTGATGGAACCAGGTACTAGTGCTCTTCACAGCACATTATACATCTTTTTCTGGAGACTATCTAGAAAGGATGTGCACTGAGAAGTTGTAACTGGAAAAGGTAGTCTCATAAATGTTGTGGAAATTACTGAAACTCATAGTGCATCTCTATTATTCCTTTGGCTAGCTCAAAATGTAGTAGGCAGATGACAGAAGTTGATGAATGTGTGGGGTTTTTCTGGGGGGGACAGGGTGTGTGATTCAGAAAATAATGGCAAATGAGAGGGGAAGGGTTCCTTGAAGTAACATTTTGATCCTTTCTAAAGGGAATAGTCGGTGACAGTGTATGGAGTATGGAGATGCACATCTGAGACAGTGAACTGAGAAAGGAACCCAAAGGTGGTAAAAAAACCAAACAAACAACAAGAATAAAAAGAAGGGAGTGGAAATAGAAAGACGTTTGATCAAATATAGATGTGTAGAACGTGGACAAGGACTGTAAAGGCAGGAAAAAATACTCCAAACAAAAAATGAAAGTAGTGGAGAGCAACATGGTTAACTGGAGGGGGCAAAACTGGGATACATTGCAAAGTAATTTGGAGCAGATGGGAGGTGAGAAAAAAAATGAAGAGCAGAGATGTCTAACTGTAAAAGGCTGTAAAAGTCAGGGTGACAGATGAGGGCTTAGAAAAAAAAGTGCTCTCGTAAACAAATTATAGAACCCAAATCACTTCTTTGCTTGTGGAAGGGAAGGAAATGGGAGAGAAAGAATTGGAGGTGACAATGAAGTTTTGATCCTGAGAGAGGGAGTAAAAGTGTATGCATTATTTGGAATAGAAAAGGAAGACTGTAGCAAGAGACTAGGGAAAAAGGGTATGCTCAGTACTAGAAAGAATCAGTTTGTGATAATGGTGTGTCAGGAACGGGAGAGGAAGCTGACATTTGGATTAGAATCAGCTTGAAGGAAAAGTGCTGAATTATTGCTGTGTGTTTCAACAGATATGCGGAGGTGGCAATTAAGTCATTGGAAAACTTGTACTTACAGTGGACTTGTTTCCTGTGAGGGGGCTAAAAATTGATATATCAGTGAATCAGTACATTGGAGCATTAGGAGTATTTCTTATTGCAGTATTACATCTTACCATGAAATGCATAACTCGAGTTACTTTACAGATGCTGTGAAATAATGATAATGATCACTCAATTTGCTATATTTTTATCACTTAAAAATGTCTTGTCTCTTGTGCATAGATATTTGATTTAATGGATGCCAAAGCCCGTGCTGACTGCATCAAAGAAATAGATCTTCTTAAGGTAACAGATGTGTTTAAGAAATGTGCAGCCATCATCAAAGTATATCAAGTTTTTCATAGATATGCTTGAGGTGTCCACTGTTGTCTCTGTAGAGTTTTTATAAGACTCACTTAAGAAATTTTCTAATCTTTATTGCTTTAAAAATCAACATTGAGAAGTAAATCCTGTAGAAAAATGGGTAACTTTTCAAGTACAAGCTTCTGCTAAAACCACACTATATATACAGTAAATAACTGTGTCCTGTGTACAGTAAAACACTGATTTTAAAAATTGACTGTGCTGTTTCAGAGAAGTATAGCATGCTATTGCATAGATACATTGAAGCAGAACTTCTCTAAAATTGCAACCTCACTCATGGTGTTGATCCTAAAATGCCGTCGTGTTCTTGCAAAATGTTTGTGTGCAAATGCTTCTCAGAAGCATATACTTTTTGTATCATACTGAAATAGACTTTAGGGGTTGTTTAGGCAAACAAAATAAGAATGTTCTATTTGTCAGTCTTAAAAGATATGATGTGCTCTGCACTAAATTGTGCTTTATTGTTCTGCTTTCTTAGCAACTGAATCATCCAAATGTAATTAAATATTATGCCTCATTCATTGAAGATAATGAACTGAACATAGTGTTGGAATTAGCTGATGCTGGAGATCTCTCTAGAATGATAAAGGTAGGAATTAACTTTTTTAAAAAATTAAAAGCTTATAACATGCATCTTTGGCTTTATGTTCTGCGTGCTCATTGCTGGGTGAAATGCAGGGAAACTGTCGGGAACTGTGGAGAGAAGTGGAGTGTTTAGACTGACTTTTTTTTTTTTTTTTTAATGTATGCAGAATAAGATGCTTATGGAAGTATTTCTAACACTGTTGCCCAGAATATAAGTGCAGATGGGGACATAACTAGATTGAAGTTATATTAGTGCTGGGGAGGAGGAAAAAAGCTATAAAGAAAAGTACTGTCACCACCATTTAGAACAATACACTTCAACAGCTTTCCTGATTTTTGGCACAATTGTTTTGTGTTCCAATATTTTATTCTCTGTAACAGTAATGAAAGCGGAGAAGGGTTGGCGTCAGAAGGCAGAAGTTTCTTCTAGATCTTGAACTTCAACTGCTAACCACTTTAGCAAACAAAGATTAAAGTGGAAATAACTGCATGATTTTATAGGTCTAGTTAAAAGCTTATTTATCTTGAGAGTAACACGTGTTCTGAAAATATATTTCATATTTGGTTGAAATGATGTGCAGTGAACTTCCTGATATATGGTTATGCATTGTGGGTTAATTGCTTTCTTTTGTAGTTTTTAAATGCTGGTTCTTTAGCTAATCAGAAAAATTTATCCAAGATCTGTTGTATAAACTATGTGTTCTGAAACTTGTATTAACTTCTATCTAGCTTTTTTATCTTTGTCATCTGATAACTGCTTCTCTTCTTCTCCGACCATTTTTCCACTGGGTCTTGGTTTTATTATGTCCCTTTGGTGTACTTTCTTGTGTGCACACCAATATTATTGTTGTCAACACAGCCTAACTCTGAGAACAAATAATGCCAGTCAATTAGCATTCGCTCAGCAACAGCCAGGCACAGAACAGAGTTCTGCTGTTTTGCTTAGGACCTACATGAATAGAGAATGTTAATTTCTTCATTAATGACTTTCCTACTGATTTTTTTTTTTCAAGCTTTTGAAGAATATTCTCTTCTAGATTGATAATAGTAAGGTAGGACAGTCAAAATTTGGTTCTAAACAGGTTGACAGCATTCTGTTAATATTTATATCCAAATCTGATATTTTTCTTCATCTCATGAATTATTAATTCTGTGGGTTTACATTTCATGAAACATAAAGGAAGGTTTGTCTTTTCTTTTGAATGTTCAGTTTTGACACAACAGTTATTAATATGAGTACTCTGTGACAGATTGCCTTATGGCATGTCTGGTCTTATGACCCATTGAAGCTTTTTCTTTTTCCTCTGCTTTTTTTTCCCCTTTTTTCCATTTTAAATCCAATGTGTGAATAATGGCTGCTTCAGTGCAGTTGGCCTCATTACACCTTGTCCAAGTCGGTGGTTATTTCTTACAGGCTCGATCTTGGAGGCACTTTGTGATTGTCCTCTTAGCACAGGGATCATGTTTAATGTAGCAAACTTAGATTGCTGTTTGATGTTAATGACAGCCTATCAGGCTATTATTAAATATGTATGAGGTGTCACAGTGCACTCCCTGTTCATGCTGCTGGTGGAGGAGATGATTTGGTATACTACTTGGATGGTATGAGTTTAAATGTGGGGCGCATCAGTTGTATAGCCTCTTCTTACAGAAGTATTTTAAAAATTGCCTGAAAAATGAATGACATGTATAAGTATGGAAACTTCTTAGCAGAATGGCTGCCTGTCACACTACTGAGGTAGATAACTATAATGTGTTACTTAAACACACCATGCTTTGATTTCCAGTGCTCTTGCTAGAATGCTGTTCTAAGTTTGTTGGAAGATGTTGAGGCACCCCCAGAAGAGAGTTTGGGTGCCAGGCTTGTGTGATTTGTAGGAAGGATCAGATGTTTTTACAATTGTAAGTGACCACAGCTTGGCTGACACTGAAACCAATGTTAATGTGAGGGAAAGCTACTTAACTAGTTTACTTGGGTGTTTGTTATGACGTTATTGGCACATCAGAGAATACTTGCAAAGCTGCTGTGCCTCACAGTGCACCTTAATGAATTCTTTAGTTCTTCCCTTAATGAACCACATCCTTGCTGCCCAGCTTTTATACCTTGTTACCTGTGAATAATACTCTCTTTGTCCTCACTGAGTAGACAACTGAGAAAAGTCACAGTGCATTCATATGGATTCTATGAGGATTTGTAGAATCTGCTGCATGTTGGAAAAAAGAAAAAGCAGCTATGCATTGGCATTTACAAGTCGCATAATGAATTGGAGGTACCTCATGTGTTTTCTGTGTCGCTCTGGGTGTTTAGGTGTGTACATACACAGATTTAATCCACTTCACCTTATTTTTTTTTGTTAATTCTGTCAGTGACGTGTTTTGGTACAGCCTCCATTCTCAAAAGTAGAAGGATCCAAAACTGAGGATTTCTTATCTTACAATGGCCTGGTAGAATTCTTGGATGTGACATGTCAGTCATACCAAGAGACAAATAGTGAAGGGGAAGTACTTGCATTTGACTTACAGTTGGTTTTGCACTACAGTATGTACCTCAGTACTGTGTAACCACTGTGTAGGGAGGGTGAAGGAAGGAAAAATTAATGATTTTCTGGATCACTGAATTAGACTGCTGGATACTATTACAGCAAAGATTATACAAGTAAATAATTTGTAACTACTGTGCTGTTTATCAGTTGCTCATGGTCTGTTGTTTGTCGGCGTCTGTGGTCTCTGCTGTGGAATGTGATGATAGTTCGTGGCTACCAAAGTTAAGGGTAGTCCGTGAAAGCTCCTGTTGTTACTGTGTAATACCACCTCATTTTGCAATACAAAAAAATGTTGTGAAGCAGGTTTAGGGCTTGGTCCCTTTTCCTATTAGTCATGGTACTTCTCCACCACAGATGGTGACAAGGCGAAAATTTTTCTGTGCACTTTTTGGCTTGGTATTTTTTTTAAAGTTACAGTTGATACATTGGATAAAGAAAATGCCCCAGAGAAAGAAGAATCTTCTAATTGCAGTAATCAAGAAAATACATTATAATGATTCAGTAAAAGAAACTGGTTAGTAAAGTCTATGCAGAAGATGTCAAAATGAGAATTTGTGCTATCTTGCAGAATAATTAGCATCTTATTTAAGATTAAAAATGAAGGTATTAGAAAGGCTTGTAAGAAGGGATGTTATCAAGACACTAAAATGTTGTGGATTTTTTTTAAATCAGCATGAATCTTTTAGGTCTATTTCATTGCTGCAGATATTTTTAGTTTTTCTGGTAAATAATATTAGCACACCAAAAAACCCCTCAAACTTTAAACTGAATATGTCATGGTGATCCAAAGGAAGTTAATCATGTTTTGGGAACAAACATGAAAGCTTTCATCTAAGAAGTTGAAAATAGGTTCCTAGTTTTCTCAAGATAGATGGAAAACCATTTGAATTCTACAAAATGTCACCTGGGTACTTCACCCACTCTTCAGAGAACACTTTTTGTGTGTTTTTTTTCTCAACTTCAAGTTAAAAAACCCTGAACATACTATAATTAGCTAGGTAGCAAAAGACAAATATTTTAAAACTACTCATCAGTGTGAAGTTCGTATTGATATCTCAGGTTTCTGTGGTTGGGAACAGTGAATTCTTTGTCTGTAAACATACTTGTTTTTTACAGGACAGTCAGAATACAGTGACGGTCATTTCTTTCCAAGCAACTGATGCAGATCTAAATTGCACATTGCAGTAGCTGGGGCTCTGTTCAAACTTGTTTGAAATCTCTTTGATTATCATTCTGATGTTTCACCAGTGGCAGATTTTTTTGGGCTTCGCTGTGTGAAATTGCATCAGGCAATTTCTCCTCTCCACATGGTCTGGGATGCAGACCCTCCCTCCTTTCTCCATGCCTAAATACATTAGTGATGAGTTTTTTTGGAACTTATTTGCAGTCTGGACTTGACTAACTTGCCTGTGCTGCGTTAGGGGACAGCTTGCCTTTTTTGAAGGGCTGAAAGAGTGGAAGCCATTTTAGCTTCAGTCCTTGGCAGCTTTGCCAGCCCCGAGTGCTGCTCTTGCCTGTGAGAAGCAACCACGGCTCCGTTGCAGAATCCATGTGACTGTGGCCGGAGTGTGTTCCAGCGTGAGATGGCAGCCTTCGGGGTTTGTGGAGGTGTTGTAATGGCAGTGGATTTGGAAGGACCGTAGGGGCACGGGGCAGTTATATTACAGTCTGCCTTCCCTTAGGTGTTCCGTGGCATCTGTGAGGCTGGCAGTGCGGAGTGCAGGGTTGGGCACGTCATGCTGAGCAGGAGTGGTGAGCAGGTGCAGCTCAGACTTCTGCGTGAGCTGCTTACGTGGACTGAGCAGTGGATCTGGCCCTGCAGCATGGCAGAGAGTTGAGGGGGCACGTACTGCTACAGAAGCCAATAATTTTTTCTGTCTTCACGCTAGCTGCCCTGGATTGCTGGATGGTTAGTAGCCCATGATAAACCCTTCTTGCTGCGGTGAAGCTGGTTGTGTTGCTGAGAATGGAAAATTGTCACTTGTTTTTTCAGACTGTTTTCTGGTGGATTGCTGTCCTGGGAAAGTGCCAGAAACAGAGATGTTTTTTCAGACAGTGAGGTTATCAGATGAATGTTGATAGCACACGTTAGCCGTAGTTTGTTTAATTGCAACAGTGATATTTTTCTTTTGCTGTGATAACTGTGAGATTTTTGGGAGTATGAAGTCAGGGAAGCACCTGTGTAAGGAAGAGGTGCAGTGTCAGAATTTAGCAGCTCAGGTGTTTACCCTTTCCCAGGACATGACCCAGTGTTTTGGTAAACGCTCAGCTATTAACTGACTACATTGTTTCGCTATCTATCATACACAACATCGTTCTACAACTTGAGCAGTTGTAGGAGATAGTTGGCGTTCCTGTTTGGAAGGCTGGTGGGACAATGGTGGTATCTCCAATGGAGTTTGACTGGCAGTGTAGCGGAAACTGCATTCTGTTGCGCGCATACGTGTGTAGCACGACAGTA